GAAGGCCAAGTTTTCAATGGGAAAGGGAACAAACAGTCCTGATGTCCTGCCAGGCTCCCAGCAGCAATCAGAAGATGGACCTACACCCCCAAGGGGGAGGCTTCACTGAGCCACAGGTGAGCGAGCTGAGGTGTGAAGGCGAGTTTGGATGCTGGTCAACTATCCAATAAGATGATGGAGACCAGGTTCTCGTTATAACCTGAGCAAGCCTCAGTCCCTGCCTTTGAAGGAGCCGAAGGTCCTGAGACCAATTTCAGGGCAGATCCTGGCTTCCACTCAGCCCGGAATTCAGTGTTTCTGAGCCCAAGAGTCATTACCTGCGTCTGGAGGAGGTGTTTCTGGAGCAGCCTCTCTGTGATGTATGACCGGCCTCAGGTCCCATGATGTTTTCCATCCAGGCCTCTCCCAAGGTCCCTGGCTTCAGGGAAAAGCTTCCACGTGCAAAGTCATCTGAGCAGTCACTGAACCTGGCTAATGATCTGCCGGTTTATTTACATTAGGAGGGAATCAGAAGGTAGGTTTCAAACCCACCATCTGAAAGGCAATGAATTAAATATTAAAAGAAGAAAGGTGATTCTGAGTTGGCTTTTGAAGCTCAGCTAGCCAAGAAGTGATATATCTAAGTGGTGGTTTTTTTTTTTTTTTAATTATATATTTACTTTTGGCTGTGTTGCGTCTTTGTTGCAGCGCGCGGGCTTTCTCTAGTTGTGGCAAGCGGGGCCTACACTTGGTTGCGGTGCGCGGGCTTCTCATTGCAGTGGCTTCTCTTGTTGCAGAGCACGGGCTCTAGGCGCGCGGGCTTCAGTTAGTTGTGGCACACAGGCTCAGTAGTTGTTGCTCACGGGCTCTAGGGTGCAGGTTCAGTAGCTGTGGCGCACGGGCTTAGTGGCTCTGTGGCATGTGGGATCTTCCCGGACCCGTGTTCCCTGCATTGGCAGGAGGATTCTTAACCACTGCACCACCAAGGAAGTCCCCTAAGTGGTTTTTAAATACCTTCTAACAGCCAAAGTTAACTATGATAAGTTAGCCTGCAAATCCCTCCTTCCCCTCCTGCAATAAGTACAGTTAGTGTTTGTACTTTAAACTTTACTTGTTGTTCACCTGAGGTCCCTCCCTGGCTGAACAATTTTCCTCCCTATTTTGTAAAGACTTTTATCACTTCCCTAGTCCTCTCCAGGTGACTTAAAGTGGCTGAAAGTGCTAGTCTGAGCAAAGAATTAACCTGCCTATAACTGATTACCACTGATTAACTCAGTCCCACCAGGATGGCCCCTTCCTGGCCAGGGTCTACCTTCTCTGCAAATTGAGGTGCACTGAGAGAGAAAGGGCTGGCTTTAAAAACATAGATATTTTGTCATAACATCTGGACAGTGTGTTTCATAATAAGTACCACCTCATATCTGAGGTGTACCACCTCATATCACATTTACTCCATTTTTTTTAATGTTCATTTATTTACTTATTTGGTTGCGCCGGCTCCTTAGTTGTGGCATGTGGACTCTTAGTTGCGGCATGTGTGTGGGATCTAATTCCCTGACCAGGGATTGAACCTGGGCCCCCTGCATTGGGAACATGGAGTCTTACCCACTGCACCACCAGGGAAGACCCTAAGTTACTACATTTTTTAAAATTTGCACTTCCCACTACTATCCTTCTGGGAGACAAGGGAAGTACTGTTATTGTCCATTTTACAGATGAGAAAACCGAGGTTCAGTTTAACCTACCCCAAGTCCATTCCCTTTTACTTAACTCATGAAACTGTGGTGCACATGTGTGTGTGCTTCTGTTTCTGTGTCTGTCTGTCACTCATGGTATATGTGTGGAGGTATAGATGTGTTTTGGGTGCTACAGAAATAGTAAGTGAAATAATACAGTGTAAGTAAGTAATAAGCAAAATAAATGAGGCTATGGAAGGGAGAGAAACTCGTCTGATTGAGGAAATGAGGAAATCTTCACACAGCTGAGGCTCTTTGGAATGTTGCTGGAAGAATGGCTGCAGGGGTGGCATTTCAGCAAAGAGGGAGTGAGGAGTGGTTGGCAAATACATGAATTTTTGAAGTCAAGCCATCAACTTGTTGTTGTTGTTCCATCAACTAGAAGATGTATGAAATGACACACCGACTTGACAGAATATTTCTTGCACGCTTGCACGCTTGGTGGTGGTGGTGGGAGTGGGTAGGGGCTAAATAAATGAATTTTAGAATCTTTCCTACAGAGTTGAACTCAAAGCTGATTTATGAGAACCCTGTGTTATCCTCCAAGCCTTGAGCTCCTTCTCTGCCTTGTGTCTGTACCAGAAAGAAGTGGCCCATTTTGGCAAAGAGGATTGTGACCCAGGAGGTCCAGCCCGGGAGGGTCGAGGGCCGGTGGGGCCTTGGCGTCCCCCAAGCACTGTCTCCTGATGGCCTCTCACTCCTGCCAGTCTGGCCCCTGGCCCCTGCCCAGCTTTGCATCCCAAACTTTAGCTGTGTCATTTGAGTCTGCGCTGGTCTGTTTACCAGGCACTGGAGCACGTGCTCCAGTGAGTCAGGGGCCAGACTTCTAGGCCCCCAATCCCTCCCCTGGCCTGTGTCTGGCGGCCGCACAGCTGGTTCCCGTCAGCCGGTCGGGGAGCACAGAGATGCTCCTGCCCTCGCAGCAGGCAACATCCAACACTGAGGGCCTTTCCTTTCTCAGGATGTGCTCAGGGACACTCAGCTGGTTTCCAAACTCTCTCTTTTCCAGCCTTTTCCCTGGAAGGCTCAGGAATCAGTTTTGCGGATTTATTCCGGCTCATTGCTTTCTACTGCATCAGCAGGTAAGGCCTCTTTGTCTCCCGATTTCAAGTCCCTGCTTGGCGTGTGCACTATCACCGGCCCCCGGGTTTCTTGATCCATCCCGGGCGCAGGGCTCTGGAAGGCTTGTCACCTATTGAATGTCCCTGGAAGGATTGGCCTCTGAGGTGAAAGGGTCATCAGGCCCCCTGTGCCAGGCTTAAGATCAGAATAACTAGCCCAGCCCCTCTAAGTGTAAAATAACATGCACATGCAGAAAGGGATCCGTGATGCAAGCGTGTAACATTTAAAGGTCCCTGATAATGTTTCTGAAAAACCCCCAGTGGATGCAGTTCATCTAGAAATGTGGGTCCTTCAACCAGTCCATAAATCTTGCATCGCTCTCCTTCAGGCCTGCTGGGTACCCCTGTCTTTTTTGTAACTAAAGGGACTGTTTCAGTCTACATTAAGCCAAGCCCCAAATCCCGATGTTAAAAAGTGTCAGGGGAGTGCAAGTTGGGGAAGGCTTTCTTCTTTCTTTTCTGTGAGCCATCCCAGTTTCTCAAGTCAAGGGTTCTTTCCATGAATGAGGCTCAAAACTCATTGTCTGCAGAGGTCGATGTTGCCTCCCCTCAGGTAGCCTGGCTCAGTTGGCCTCCTTTGTTTTTCTTGTGCATCTGTCGCAGCCGATAGAGCAGAGATGGGCTAGATCCTTGGGGGTTGGGGGGAGGGTAGGCACCAAGCTGTCCACTCCTGGAGGTCCCCAGGCCAGGCCAGCCGAAGCTGCAGTCAGTGGCCTGATGGGGGAGGGCACTTCCAGAGGGGGAGCCCAGCGGGAAGAAGGGGGGAGCTTCCTCCAGAATGGGACCAGAGCCCTGTGAGTGCCCTGCGGGGGCTGCCACCTGCCAAGGTGTGGGCAGGAGCCCTCACCTGTGTGAGGAAGTCCGCCCAAATCGAGGAGGCCAGTGCAGAAGCCCTCACATCCCCAGGGATGCACACCTGCCCTGGCATGAGCCCAGCAGCCCCTGGGAGTGACTGTCAACCCTGGTATGTCAGTCAGAGGTGAGGCTGGCCGACATTTACACATTATAATTTGCTCCTTGATGAGCCTGCTGTTGTTGTGAAAGATCATCCCACCTATAAAACAGGATTTGGCAGCCATGCACGAAAGGTACCATCTCTCCCCTCAGTGGTCACTGTAAACTAAGTGCCGCTGTCTGGAGCCGCTTGGTGACTGAAGGGGACAGAGTACCTAGAAGGCTTGGTGACCCACAAAGCATGATGCCAACACAAGATGCTCACAAGCAAATCCCTACGTTGACATTTTGTGATTAATAGTCTGTCTCCTCCTCTTTAGAGATATGACATATAGAGTAAAAAGATATTAAAAAAATAAATCTCACTTATGCATGCATTAAAACTCTTGAGTGAAACGTTTATACAGAAGATGGCTTTATTTTGTCTGTTATGCAAGTTTTAGAACCAGGGTTAGGTGAGAAGGAGGCACCCCCTCTTGTGTGTGTGTGTGTGTGTGTGTGAGAGAGAGAGAGAGAGAGAGAGAGAGAGAGAGAGAGAGAGAGAGCGAGAGAGAGGAATGAGAGAGAGAGAGGCTGTGTCATGCCCTTGGCTGGCACGGTGGGAGAGTACTCACGCACAACATCTAATTTTCTAGTAGATCAAAGCCTAAAACCACCCATTAGTGAATGACGGGTGTGGTTTCCTGTCATCTCTGTCATTAAGGAAAACCCAAACCAATTATGCAATATTCAGGCTCTAGGTACTGCATTGGACAAAGTAAAACCTTAAAATAAACGTAGATTGGTTTTGTTATGTGTGGCTTTCCTCCCAATTGCCTAAAGAAAGTAGGTTTTCATTAAGTGGGTACAGCCATGGAAATACAGATTTGCATGATGCTTTGACGTTACAAAATTCTGGTCTCAATAGTCTTCATTTAACATTATAATCAGGGCCGTGGCCTCTCCTGGGTCCAGCAGCAGCTCTTATACAAAGGCTGCATCCCCTGACGCTCCACCTGCTTCATCCAGAACAGATGCAAGTGGACGAGGTGCTCACAATGGGGACAGATGAAAGGGTCTCCTGGAAGCAGGAGGTGACCCGGGCTTAATACCCCAGGAAAGAGGAGCCTCCCGACTGCCAACTCCTAGCATTTATGTGAGCCCTCGTGTTTTGCTCTTTCCATCAACCTTACTAATTTGTTATTCATTGTCAACAGCCTCAAGGGTTCCAAAAGTCTCCAGTCATCCAGATTTAATCTGATTCAGGCTACAGTGTTGCCCAATCTTACTGTAAACGACTAGTTGTTTGGTATAGTTATTTTCTTCAGTGGAAATGTTCAGGTCATCTTGTGTTGACAGAACACAGGCAGGAGCTCCGAGCTTTGTCCTCACTTTCTCCACCCCAGCCATGGGGGTGCGGGGGGAGGCGGGGGTGGGGTCTCCTTGCTGTTCTTCATACATGCCAGACCCTCTCCTACCCAGGGCCTTTGCACCTGCTGCTCCTTCCGCCTGGAATGTTCTTTCCCTCATAGTTTACTTCCTGGCCACCTTTAGATCTTCAGTCAAATGCTACCTGCTCACGGGGCCTTCCCTGGCCAACTCTCACACTTGAACCCTCTTTATCTTTCCCCTTTTGTGCTTTACTTTTATCCATGGGGCACATCCCCTTCCCGTGTATTCTATGAATTGCTTTATTGTTCTCTGTCTGCTGGCGTCCGCTGGAGTGAAGCTCTGTGCAGGTGGGGACTCTGTCTGTTTTGTTCCCAGCACCTGGCACATCATAGATGACCATAGACTTTGCTGGATGGATGGATGAATTCTTCCTTTGTAACACCAGTACCACCACTGAAAAAAATAAGTCCTTTTCTGATAAGTCACCCTTGTCATTGCATATTCATTCATCCATTTATTCAAAACACATTCTCTCCCTGTCTGTGTCAGGCAAGGCCCTGTGCTGAGCCCCGTGAGGATTTCATCAGTGCTTAGAGCCTGACCCTAACCCTTGTGCGTGAAGATAAACAAGTGCTTTTGAAGTCTGCCTCTGCCCTTCTGGAGAAAGCAGGAGGTCATGGTGGCAACGCTATGCCCTGGCCGCAGCAGGACCCTGGTGCCAGCCCAGCTCCTACCTCTTGGGCCTGCTGGTCTGTGATGCTGCAGTGCATTTGTTTCCTGGTCTGCACATGGCGCCATGCTGCTTGGGGGCAGGGTTGTCGCATGAGTTCCTTCAGATTTGCCTTTCTGCTCAAAGCATGGCCCAGGGTCACGGAGCTTGACAGAAACGCCCAACCTCCGGCCTCCCCCAGACCTGCTGAGTCAGAGTGCAGCCTCACAAGACCCCCCAGGGATTCAGGTGCACATTACAGTTAGAGAAGCACTACCTTAAGACTCAAGAGGGAGTTTTGTCCCCGGCACACAAAGGACAATACATGGGCTGTAGCTGGAACACGTCACAAATAAAACCAACAGACATTCATTGAGAATCTGCCGTGCGCAAGGCAGTGGGGTAATACATTTTGGTTTAGGATCACACATTCCTGCCCAGGGAGTCGGGGCCCAACATTCAGAGCAACTAGCAAATCAATACCTAACGTGTTATTTGTGTGATGGATCCACCAACATAGTTAGCGATTCTGATATTAACTCTAGATACGGCTTAGCTGCCCAGGAAGGCAATTTGGTCCTCGCTGCAAATACTGAAATCATGCGGGCTTGTCTCTCAGCCTGTCCTGCGTGTGTTAACACAGGCAGGAGTAGTGATCCCATCCCACAGTCCTATCAGTAAAGACGAGTCCAGTTGGGTATGCTGTGATGTCTGGGACATCTGAAATAGTTTAAGCTATAGACAAACAACAGGGACCTACTGTGTAGCACAGGGAACTATATTCAGTGTCTTGTAATAACCTATAATGGAAAAGAATCTGGAAAAGTCTATGTATGTATAAAACCGACTCACTTTGCTGTACACCTGAAACACTGTAAGTCAACTACACTTCAATTAAAAAATAAAACAGAAATAAATAGTTTAAGCTAAAACATCTCTAGGATGGAAATGAAAGCAAGAGACAGAACAAGACACGTAATTACGTGTATTCTCTCTTTTGAAAAATCAGGGACGTCCTGCCGTTTACCTTGAAGTTGCCTTATGCCATTTCAACAGCCAAGACTGAGGATCAGCTTGAAAAACTAGCCCAACTGGGACTAAGTAAGTGGGTGCCCTTTGCCCGGTTTCCCTTGATGTGAAAGCACGGAGTAGAGCCAATGGCAGACGTTACACCGTTGCATCAAAAAGCAACCCTCATCTCCATGGTAGAACTCCATGAGGCCCTGAGTCACACCTTCTGAGAGTCTTTTTTCTAAGTCAAACGTCCAACCAGCTCTCAGAGGCAGGTGCCGAGTTTGCCTGAGTAGCCCACGAATTCTCCCCAGCATCTCCCATCGATGAGTTTGAGCTCCCCAAAATGTCCAAGTCTTAAGGTAAGGTGAACCTCTGTCATGGGTCCTGCCCTTCTGTGGCATCTCGCTGGGGAAAGGCCGTGCCTGATGGACGGGGAAAGCCACTGCAGGCACCTCGTGTGCATGAGTTTTATTCTAGAGGAACACACGGTATTGATGGCGTTTCTGTGCTTTGAGGACTTTGACAGCGCAGGCTTCCAGAGTAACATCTGTCTCAGTTCCTCTCTTGCTCAGTTCCGGCCCTGGTGTTCTGGGCCACGTCCCTTACGCCACCGTGTATCCTCACTCCGGCCAGCTGGGCGCTCGCTTGCCCTCCTGCCCTTTGCCAGTGCCCCTCAACCCAGCCCTGTGGCAGACGGTGGATGGCAGGGGCTCAGGACACACCACTCCCTCAGTGTCACTTCTTGGTTCTGTTGCCCTGGGGAACCCGTGTGGGTTTAACTCTCACAAAAAAAATGTTTTCCTCCTCGATGGGAAGGGGGAATTCTCTTAAGATTTTGGGGCTTCAGTCTTCAGACAGATGAACAACCAGGCCGTAGTACTTGAGTTTATATACCAGTATATAGTGTTTGAGTTTGGGATTCTCAAGTGCAACTACCAGGATTCCAAGGACCTAAGAAACTGTGATACTTGACCCAGCAAATAAGAAATATATGTGTCCCTCCTTTGGCCAGTTTGCCCCTAAATCTAAAGCACTTGTTCTGAAGCGGGTACCATTGCCAAGAGAGCCTACAAAATGCCTAGAGAAGCCTGGAGGTAGATTCACATTCCCCTCTGAAAATTGGATTGTTTCAAAAGAATTGCCACATGCATCTGAGGCCTGTCTGACGGGCAGCTGGGTTTCAGGATTGGGAAATAGAATCCAGGTAAAAATATCAGGGTCGCATAAATGTCCCTGCTGAAAAGTCACGCCATCTCTGCCACCGAGCTTTACACACCTTTGGAGAGAGTTTAAAACATTTCCTGAATTTAAGATCAGATCATCAACTAGATTATAGGCCTCTTGAGGACATGCACCAGGTCTCCGTTTCCTCTGGTGACCTCCATCCCCAGGACTCCTGGTTCGGTGGTCAGCCTGCTGTGTGTGCTTCGTGCCAGGGCTCCAGGACCAAAGTATCAGGGACAGCACTTGTGCCCTGCAAAGATCGAAGCAGAAAGAGCTTGCTCTGGTGGCCACTCACCGGAAGCACATAAGGTCTCATGAATAGATATTCAATGTGTAATTGTCAATGTGCACCTTATCCATTTTGTGAAGAGACAGCGCTTTAAAAAATTCTGTACCTAATTTATTTGTCTGTCCAACAAGTCTTTCTGGAGGGTCCGCTATGTGGCAGGCCCTGTGTCCCACAACAAGGGTTCAAAGATGCATAGGGTCCCTCCCTCTCCCCCACTCCCCAGGTTTAGTCTGTATGGGAGGAACACATAACACGGGAACTAAGTGTTCTAAGTTTGTAAAGTCTTACAACGGTGGCAGTGGGAGTCTAAGGAGGACGCAAAGGAGGCGAGAGCTGCTTTACACTGGCCAGTAGAAATAGATGTAAGGCAAGCCAGTGTGTACCTTTAAATTTTCTAGTAGCCACATGAAAGAAAATTAAAGGTGCAATTAATTTTTACAGTTTACTTAATGTGATATCTGCAATGTTATTTCAATATATCATCCCTATTTTTTAAAGTATTGATCAAATATTTTACCTTCTTTTTTTCATGCTAAGTGTTTGAAATCCAGTATGTATTTTATCCTTATAGCACATCTCTATTCACGCACTAAATTCTTGTCAGAAATACATGGATCTGTATTTAGATTTCGTTACATTTACAATTGAAAAAGTAGTTTCACATAAAGTTTCACATACTTTATAGTTTCCCAGTAACTGAATTGTGTCAGTTTTTACATTTAAATTGATTCACCTGAAATAAATGGAAAATGGAGCCCTTCCATTTACGAGCTGGATTTCAAGCGCTCACTGGCCACAGGTGGCTGCTGGCTCCCCTACTGGACAGCACAGACCTAGAGGGAAGGAAGGATGAGAGAAAGCGGGCAACACAAGTCAAGGTCAGGTGTGTTCACAGCACAGACAGGACAGGGCCAGGGCTCCCAGCCTCAGCCTCTCCCCAGGCCCCTGTGACCAGCCATTCTGGGCCCTCGGGAAAGAAACACAGTTTCAGCAAACACAACAGGGCAGAACTGTAGAGACAAGAACCTATTCCAGATGGAAATTACAACAGGTGTTCAGCGCCACCACCGCCTCCCTTGATTTGCGTGGAAAACAGACCCGTCTGTCAAAGGGCGCCCAGGCAGTACGGCTGCAGTCAGCGATGTGCACCACTCCAGAGTGCTGAGCATCAGTTGTCAAGGCCAGGAGGCTGTAGGATTTGGGAAGGATGGGCAACAAACCACAAAGATGGACGGCCGAACTTGCACTTAACCTTTGCATGAGCTGGCTGTCCTGCTTTTTGCTGATGGGACCCATGAGTGTATTTTTCCTCCTTTTGGGTTTTAATGCTGAATGTGTCAAACCCCAGGCAGATTGTGTAACCTCCGCCAGGCCCAGCTGCTGGTCCTGCCTATTAAAGGGGAACTGCGGGCCCCCTGCGGAGGGCACCCTGGGAGAAGGAATCAGAAAGGGTGCTGCTGCTTAGTGGGAGGACTTGGTCTTTGTGGAGCAAGTAGGGAGTCCCATGGCCTTTTCCGAGCTCGTGCTATAACCACCCCAGTTCCTTTTTCCTCACCTGGGGAAAGGCCTGGCCGGCTCAGTGCCACGGCCAAGCCATCCCGCAAGGGCTTTGAAGGTGAAAAGCCTCCGGAGCCTTCCCACGAGCCAGCAGCTGGGCCTGGCAGCATTTCCACTCTTT